GGCAGGCTTCCTTCCACAATCCATGGGAAATCCCACAGCCAATCTCACGATGAGTGCATAAATGGACCTGAGCCAGGAAACCTTCTGGAGCAGAGCAGATGCTTACACAATGGCTTTCCTGCTCTGTATTTAACACCAAACAGGTCACCTTAACTTAGGCCTCTGGGTCCATCCAAATTCAAACTGCAAATTATCTTTCAGGAATGTCCACACCCAAATGTGATCCATTTCAGAGAAGCCCCTCTTCAATCTGGACATCTCGTGAATCTGTATGAACTGCTATAATTTAGAAGGAACTGATGGATAGCTCAGTGGTTCAGGCATCTGGCTATGGAGCCAGAGGTTGGGAGTTCAATTCCCCACTGTGCCTCCTTGACAGGGGCTGGATTTGATGATCCATAGGGTTACTTCCAGCTCTCCAGTTCTAAGATGAAGATTTCAAGATTCATACAAATCTGAAGTACATCCCTACTTCCTATACTGTGCATTGTTTTCCATCAAACAAGGCAATTTAAAGATATTTCATGCTGCCCAGCAGAGGGCACTATTGTAAAACAGAAATAAACAAAAAACTAATAGTTAAACTATAACCTTAGCAAATAATTTACTTTGTTAGAAAAGAAAATTCTCCTCTTTCATGATAACAAAGGAAAAGTGTTGGGGGGGCTTTAGCTCAAATTATGGTAGGCACACAGTCTAGTATTAGCACTTCTGGTTTTCAGTCTTGCCATTTACCAAACAGTTGTTTATTTCGATACCTCTCATACAATTTTATAAAAATGGTCTTGCAGCACATAATTTATCCCACACAGCATTTATTCTTCCTTCATGCATGGATTTCATACCTCAAATCTGCCCTTTAGATCTGACACTTCTCTTTTCAAATATAACAATTTGTCCCTGGTATTTAGTTCTTAAAGTGATTGGCAGCTTTTATCTGATATCAAGAATCACAACAGCTTAAAAGGAATACCAGAAACTTTGGTGAAATACAATTTTAAATGTCTTTTTGCTAGGGAAAAATGTTCTTATTCATCCTTCTTATGAGGTCAAGTGAGTATTCTTGGTTCTTTTCCATCCCACATCATCCTTAGGAAAGCCCTGAGATGAGGATAAGAGAAAATGAATGGCCCAAGGTAACCCAGTGAGAAATATTTAACAGTTTTCTCCCAAATTCACGTAAATCCCTGTATCCCACCCACTTTGGGCAGGAAATGAGGGAACAAAACAAAATGGTAGGAAAATGTATTGGCTGTTACATCTGGAAATTTGCAATTTAAATGCAGGCAATAGCCACACTAGTGTGATCTCAACTATGCCTTCTGAGCATTCAATGGATATGACAGCTGTTCAGATCCCCATGTCAGAGTTCAGCAATATTTGTCAATCTACATTTTGCAAGGTGGGACAGAGACAGCTATTACGTTCCATCGTTTATGACAAAAGATATCCATCCAGGCTCTTGTTCTCTCTTTCTCTGTGTGGCTATTTGACAGCTTTGCTATGGAAAAACACTGATCAGGAGAAGGCTTAGCAAAACTCTAGTCATAAGTAGGAATTCACACTACTGTACATTGTGTAAATGCTAGCAGAAACCGCACAAAAAACTCTTAGGCTTATGGCAGTGGGCAGTACAGTGTGTTAAATAGTTCAAAACCATTTCAGAGATAGAAAAAGAAGAGAATGGGAGGGCAAAGTGATTTTCAAGGAGAATTTTGTGTTTAGAAAATGTTTTCTTGAAGCAGACCGTGTCTGGAGTTCACGTCCAATGCCGGAATCAAGCTGCAGAAAGCCCATCATCATTAAACAATCTCCACATAGTTCTATCAGGTCTTAGAAAGACACTGCAGATGAAACCAACAGTGATGGGCCTTTCATATTATAATGAAACAGCACAAACAAAAATAGTCTTTCTTTTTTTCATTTCTGTGTTCTCTTGTTGATTGATTTTGTGTTTCTTTCATATTCCATGTTTTGTGTAACCTTTTTTCCACTCTTTGTCAAACTGCCTCAAATTTGTCATACAATAGTGTAGCAAGGACTGCTGTCAGCAGCCAATCAGAACAACTGGGGTGAATAGGAAATTTGCATCCATAAAAGGGCCTGCATTGGTTGGAACCGAGTAAGGAGAGCTCTTTGCTTCCATTGTTCCTTGAAGGCAAGATTACTATGTACTGCTGAGCTTCTGGTAACTTCCATTTTGGGATGTGCTTCCTGCCTACTGTGTTTCCTCGAAAATAAGACAGAGTCTTATATTAATTTTTGCTCCAAAAATGCATCAGGGCTTATTTTCAGGGGACGTTTTATTTTACATTTGTGTCACCTTTTGGTTGCTGCACAATGTTGTACAATGGTGGGGGTGAGTTTTCACTTAACAGGCTTATTTTGGGTGTAGAGCTTGTATTTTGAACATTCTGAAAAATCATACTAGTGGGTGGGTTTTTACTTAACAGGCTTATTTTGGGGGTAGAGCTTATATTTTGAACATTCTGAAAAATCATACTAGGGTTTATTTTTGGGTGAGGTCTTATTTTTGAGGAAACAGGGTAGTTGTCTCACTGACTCCATGTTGGATGTTTTCCTCCCAATCCCTTTTTTCTTGTTCTTTTGGGAGAGATTTCCAATGTGTTTCTTTGGATTCGTTTTGACACTGCCAACAGGCAGTCTGCATGTGCCAGCATGGATTTTTTCTCTTTTGGAGATTTTTTTCCTCTTTGGTTTTTGGCCTTTTCCTTTCTTAATTATATTTACTGCCTGGGCTTGACCTACCTCCTACCACCTGAAAGACTCAAAGAAGAGAAGGCATTAAATGGGACAAGGGGGAGAAACTTCCCTATATTCTAGTAATTTGGGGTCGGAGTGCTTTATTTCGTTGCTTTTCTTGTTTTTTGGGAAAGGAGTTGTGAGTGTGTTTTATTTTTCTACTTTTTTCACTATGCATGTGAGAGTGGTTTCCCTTCTTTGACTGAGCTTTATAAATTGTTGGTTGTTCTGGGTTTTTCGGGCTCTTTGGCCGTGAGCCAAAGAGCCCGATAAACCCAGAACAACCATTAGATCCTGGCCATGAAAGCCTTCGCGAATATATTTATAAATTGTTATTTGGTTAATTTACTACATATTTATCCCGTAAAACATATATATTTGGGAGGGGTGGGACTGATGTTTTTCCTTCTGTGAAAATGTGTGGGTCAGAGTAGTGGGCCCTGTGACTGTGCAAATGGTTGGTTGTTGGTGATGTGCATATTATTTATTTGTTTGTTTGTTTGTTTGTTTGTTTGTTTGTTTATCTGTTTCTTAACCTTGTGTTACTCAGGAGTTTTGGACTGCAACTCCCAGAAGCCTTCACCACCAGCTGTCCTGACTGGGGTTTCTGGGAGTTGCAGTTCAAAAGCATCCGAGTAACAAAGGCTAAGAACCACTGTTTTAAAACATTAAAACCATTAAAATTGGCAATATTATAATAATATCCTATATTAAAAACAATCATTAAAACATTAATATTAATAAATCCTTCTGCTCATATGGCCAGCTAAAGAATACTATTTAATTAAAAGGCTGGTTAAACAGAAAGTCTTTTGCCTGTTGCTGAAAAGCCAAAAATGTCGGAACCAGACGGATTTCTATAGGGAGGGCGTTCCAAAGTTGGGGGGCAACAGCCGAGAAGGCCCTATTTCGACATGCCATCCCCCTCACCTCTTTCAGGGATGGCACCTTCAGAGGGGCTTCCTGGCCTGATCTTAGAGGACGGGCAGGCTCATATGGAAGAAGACGGTCCTAGTTTAGGTAACCAGGTCCTAAGCTGTCTAGGGCTTTATATGTCAAAGTATGTTGGTGGTGCGGATTAAACTGCAGAAGCCTCTGTGCTGCAAGGTCAGAAGACCTGCAGTTGTAAGACCGAATCCACACGATGGAGTGAGTCCCCGTCACTTGTCCCAGCTCCTGCCAACCTAGCGGTTCGAAGCATGCAAAAATGCAAAAATATGCAAATAGATAAATAGGTACCACCATGGTGGGAAGGTAACGGTGTTCTGTGTCTAGTTGTGCTGGCCATGTGACCACAGAAGATTGTCTTTGGAAAAACACTGGCTCTATGGACACGACAAATTGTCAAGGGGAACCTTTACCTTTACCTAAGCATTACTGTATGCTTTTTAGAGTAGACTGATCCTCTGTTGCCTTGCCTCTCTGCTTCTTTGTGGTAGTTTTTTAGAGTCCTTTAGGGTCTTTGGAGCACCAGAAAACACAAATGTGGAAGCCCAAAACAAATGACCTGAAAAAGACTTTCCCTTTGGTATAATATGAAAAGCTCAGTAAATGAAAAAAAATACAAAAATAAAAGAGGCAGGCCCAAATGAAAACAAATATTGAAATATTTGCCATAAGCATCCCTAGAAGCCACACATTTGAAAAAACACTCTGGAATGGCTGCCTCCTCATAAGAATATACATCTTGTATATGAAGTGTTTTTCCCCCTTACAGAATGGTCATTCCAAATGAGTCGGTCTCTGTGGTGATGCTTCACATGAACTATTCACCTCACAGAGATATTTAGCACATATTCCAATATAAATTATTTCTTTTTAAACTACTTTTAGATTTTATAGGGATATTTATATTTACGATTTAATTACTGCCTGTGTATCACCATATTGTTTGGAATATTTTTTTGGTTATTGTTGGGTTTTGATGGTCTTAAGTTTTAATTTTGTAAAGTGCCAAAAGTAATGTTTGTACTATTCGGGCAATCAATCAATCAACCAGGCCTCCATATATCATTTCCTTATACATTCCAGAGTACCACAGAACGACAGAAAATCTCAATCTTACTGAAAAATGTTTCCAAGCATACCCTGGCCCTACCTTTTAGGAGACTGGAAGTCATTTGCAGCATGGGACCAATATTGACTTTGCAGTTTTCTTTGTGCATAACCACCCATTTGTGATTTTGGCAATGGGAGAATCCCCTGAACAACATACTAAACTTGTCATAGTGCCATACCATTCTCTGACATCCCCGCACCACCAGTTGGTGAACTTCTATCTTGATGTACAACCGATATGGCATATTGTCCATTGGTGGCTGCACTTCCTTTCTGCCCTGAGTTTCCTTTTGAAGAAACCTGAAGCTTCATGACCTCCGACCTGTGGGGAAAAAAAGAAGACAGAAAAAACTGTCAAAATTAATCCTACTGAAAAAACCAAATCAACAAAGTTGAAACCATTTGTATTCCAGGGGAGTGACACCATGGATATGTCTGTGCCGACCAATGCACAAAGCATTGCCATGTCTTCATTTCTAGTAGGCCTGGAAAGACTTCAAGGGAGATCTACAGTCTGGTTGTAGGGACCAAACCCACAAATTCATGCTCTGCTCATGGTCCTGCACACTTCCTTCCTTCACTTCCTACTTTGAGCTAATCATCGATTGTTTTTTACAGGTCAGGAGACTGGAACAGCAGACAGCCTGTTATCGGTGGGAACTGTGCCAATAGCATGGGGCATGGCACAGATGAGTGGGTGAGCACCATCTTGGAGCAGTAGTTGGCAAAATGAAAGAGGCAGAAGGAGGGGTCCACAGAATGAAGCATGGCAGACCTTGTACTATGAGCAGTGAGTGCCATTCTCTCTTACTTAAATGAGACACTTTCCTTTTCTCCCCCCCCCTTGCTGTGCCTGCCCTGGCTGGATTGCTTTTTTTGCCCCTTGCTGTGCCTGCCCTGGCTGGATTGCACAAAGATGTAACTGGAACAGCTGTCAAAGGGGTTCACACATAACTGTTCCATCATGAACCAGAGGCTTCTTTGCCACTTCCTTGGCAGAGACTCACACACCCTATACTGCTGCTTATTGCTCTTTCATAGTGTTGGTGATGAACAAAGCAGCTGGGTGATAAATTTTGGTGGGGAAGGGGCTCATAATAAACGTTGTAGGCTTTCCCCCCCTCTTCTTGGTAGAAAACGCTCTTATGGGTGAAGGCAGCATTCCCCCCAAGTGACTCCTACCATACTCATGTTTCATACTGCCTGAAGATTCTACCCAAAGAAGAACAGCGCCTGGTTCTGTTATAGCAGAACACAAATTTTTCCAATAAATCACACACACACACACGTACAATATATTAATATATCTGTTTACAGATAACAAAATCTCACTCACCTGCCTGATATACCCCAAAGGGACCTAAACCTTATGCAATATTTCTCTGTTGATTTGTAATGCATGTTAATCTATGAATCTGCTAATCCTATATCTTATTCTTAAATCTATTAAGTAAAAAATATACAATGACATGCAATATTTCTCTGTTGATTTATAATGCATGTTAACCTATGAATCTACTAATCCTATATCTTATTCCTAAATCTATTAAGTAAAAAATATACAATGAGATGTAGAGGACGTAAATGTAAGTGGGGGATTCAGAAAGGACACAGAGGAAACTGCTGCAGTGCAGGCTTGCACCAGAGTTTATCCTTATAAATGCTCAGGGGATTTATAAGGAACTATAGCCACCTTTCAAATGGAAAGAACCATAATGAAAAAATACCTTTTGATATCTGTGCTTGCTTCTAGATTTCACTGGTGCAGGCAAACATCATTTATGAATTTTGCTCTCACCCTTGGAGGGGGCAACCCCCATCATGAATCACTGAGTTCTCTGTCCCCACTATTCTTGGTGCCAGAGTTTCTTTAAATTTTATTTCTCAAGAAATCACTACAAGATGCCTGAGTAATAAGACTTTTGCTTCCTAATGTATAGGAGTAAACTTAATTCTGAATATTAAGTATCATTATTTTAGATATAATAACATTGGAACTATCACATTTGGATTCAGATATATTTAAAACTATCAAAATATGGCATTATTCTGTGAATTCAGATTATTTCCAAATCTGCATGCACATTCCTACTGTCTAGAAACCTTCCTATACAGTAATTCTTTGTCTGATTTTGTACACTCCTCTTTGTTGCAGAATCCCAGTTTGAAAACATGTATCCTTTCAAACACTTCCTGCCTCACGTTTTGCATAACCCACCCAAATTACTAGCACAGCTGTTGTGGGGTGCAGTTGGCACATCTGTATCTTTTTTCTTGCATTGGGATTTTATATTTTATAAGGTTATTCTAAAAGCTGGTTTTGCATTCAGAAGCACAGATCAAAGTTGAACACTAAACATTGCATGCCAGCGTGTACATCTTTTCTAGCAGATGTACACAAGCATTTCACAGTTTAATAGATCCTGCTGATCATTCTGGTTTTTCACACTGGAGATTCTGGCTTTAATCTAGTTTAATACTTTCCATGCATTCAAGGTCTTAATGAAAAACTCTCCTGAGAAAATGTACTTAACTCTAGGATTTGGCCATATTGACTACTTTAAGTGAGGCAAATCCTGCTGAGAAAACTGAATAATGTCCCAAAAGTTCCTTCACGAATTCAAGTGACATCATGAATTGATTTCATGCGAGGGGTAAAACACAGTCATGTTCTAATTTACTAACACCTTTGGAAGAAACACTGCATGGACAGTACTGCAAACTCTCTAGTGCTTTACAAATCATTTGTTTTTGCAGTCTTAGGCAGTTAGCAAACCCAGGATCTGTTCAAGCATTCTGTAATGATCCTTGTCCTCTCTCTTCCCCTACCCCAAACAAAACATACATGGCTTTTGGTTTATGTTCAGCTTGGTAATTTTAAAGGTATCTTACAAAGATAAGGGTGGGTGATGAACAGCGTTCTGACTCAGGAAGAATGTAGGCCCCAGTGTCTATATGACATAATGTTCTTCCCTGTCAATTAAGTGCCTCATTTGCCTCTGCTTCCTCAGACTGAATGGATTGCCAACTGAGAAATGTAACCCAACGCATTACATCAAATTACGGCTTCTTGCCAACCAGCATTCAGCATTCAGCACCCAGGCCAAGAGCTGAACCAAATGTGCAGTTGTTGTGACACAAAGCCTACTAGAGTGTGTCTATGTATAACCTTTTCCTAATGCTAAAAAGTAAAAACAAAATAAAATCTGAAACGGAAAAAAAAGTATGTCATATTATTTCTCAGCTTTGGGAAATAAGGCAGCTAACAACGGGATTAAAAGGTATAAAGGAGAACACCATTAGATTAAAGCACAATTAAAGAAGTTAGAATGGTAACACGTACAGTAATTGAATTCAGAACAGTTTAGAAACAGAGCAGTAACTGTAAAATAATAATTTAAAAGTACAGCCCTCATTCCTTATAAGCCCTTTTTCTTATCAGTCGGTTAATTGCCAAAAGCTTATCTGACTGGAAGGCCAGCAGAAGGACCACAAAGAGGGGGCCAGTAGAGCCTCTCCCTTCTGCCCCGACCACCTCCTCCGCCTTGGGGAGTGGAAATAAATAATACTTCAAAGTTTCAGCTTCTTCCACTGTTCTCAATGCCTGGGTTGGTTTGCAGGGCCAATAGCTAGTCTTACTGTTTTCACAAGTAAAAAAAGATAAGTAATGAAGCCTAAGAGGAAAATAACTAGAGATCCCCAACATGAATTCCACTATGGGTTGAGTTAAGAGCTTAGTTATGAGCCAAGCAGCAAGAGTCCACGTTTCAAGACAGAGGTGGGTAGAATACTGTCTGCTCTCACTTATATCAACAGAAATAAAATGTCTAGAGCAAGGGTGAACAACTGTGGTCCTTCACAAGTTTTTTTGGGCTCCCAACATGCCACCACTAGCTATACTGTTAGGGTTGATCAGAGTTTCGTTGAACTACCATAGTTGTCTACCCCCTGGTCTAGAGTTACTTAAAGATCAAAGACAAAACCAGCTATACTGTCAGGGCTGATCAGAGTTTCCTTGAACTACTATAGTTGTCTACCCCCTGGTCTAGAGAGTTACTTAAAGATCAAAGACAAAACCAGACAATCAACATATATCTGAGACTACTGTTGGAGATCCTCTACACTTCTACAGCTTTACTGTTGAGTGCCATCAACGTGCTGATGATACTCACTGTATCTTTCTTAAGGTAGCAACCAGAGACAGGCACATTAATCCTCAGTCATTGTCTAGATGCCATGGCCAAGCAGCTGAGGGTCAACGAATTGATTCCGAATCCTGACAAGAAAGACGTGGTGCTGATCATTTGGCAACTGAACAATCCAGCTGTCACCTCTCTAGTAGTTGACAGGGTATGAATTCCCCTTGTGACCCTTGGGGATTTTATTAGACCCAGTGCTCCTCCCAGAGGAACAGGTGGTGATGGTTGGGTTGGCATTTTGTCACCTGTTCTTGGTCCAGAAACTCTGTCTCTCCCCAGAGAGGATGACATGGCCGTGCTGACCCATGCCTCTATAATCTTGAAATCAGATTAGTTTGCTCCACATGGGCTTCCACTTAAGACAACTCAGAACAGAAGCTTTAACTGGTATATCACGTGGTGGCTAGGCTTCAGTCACTTGACACTTATTTTGGATGAGCTAAACGTGTTGCTGCTGGTCTTCCAGGTTCAATTCAAGGTGTTGGTTATTATCTAAAGGTTTCCATAGCTTAGGCCTCAAACATTTACTTGATTGCCTTTACCTGTATCAACTCTTGCTGCAACAAAGATATGTCTGGGGCTGCAAGGTGACAACTCTTAAAGCTGTCCCACTCATATATGTCAGGAAGAAACCTTTACATGTTGCTACCCCACCATATTTTGCAGAATTGCTTCAAGAGTCGTTTGGATGCTGATAAGTTTATCTGTGTTTCTGCCACTTCTGTGGTTCCTTTTGCTCTTTTTAGATCACTGTAACTATTATTTTTTTATCATTTAAATCACATTGTACAGCATTTCAGGTGTCCTTGGACAGAAGAAGAGCATATACTGAAAATGGCAGGTAGTTAGGTTGGTTGGTCCTAGAATATTCCTAAAGGAGCCATGATCTCAAATACTCTACCTGTGGCTACGGCTACTGTTAACATTTGAATGTTCCTTAGATTTGTTTCCTATTTTAACGTTGTGTGGCTTCATTCTACCTTCTCTCCAGGAAAACTAAAAAGGGCATTTCCCTTTCTTTCTTTCTCTTTCTTTCTTTCTTTCTTTCTTTCTTTCTTTCTTTCTTTCTTTCTTTCTTTCTTTCTTTCTTTCTTTCTTTCTTTCTTTCTTTCTTTCTTTCTTT